CTTTGGATTAATTAATTTAATAATCATTGCTAAAACTAAACAACATTTAGTTTGTTTCTTTAAATGTGAACTGTGTAAAGGCACGTTCCTATGTAAAAAAAAAAGCCCCATAGTTCCCAGCTTTCCCTAGGCAGCCATGTTGTCATGGGGAAGAGGAAGAGACCAGAAAGTGCATGAGATGAGGTGTCCTGCAGCTGCCCCAGCTGCCTTTCCTTGCCCTCCGAGACACTCTAACAAGACAGGCAAAAAAAGACCGTCTAGAAGAACATGTAGGGCTGGGGGAGAGAGCCTCTTCTACTCCCCGTGCTCTGTAATGGATGCCCATAAGTATCTGAGTTTGGCGGCTTCCAGGCATTGTAATAGGATTGTGCCCTAATTGTGCATTATAATTTCATCCCTGTAATATTTTAAAAGACTTGGAAGGGCAGCAATGTGGGAACTAGAAAAGACGGAGGGCAAGCATGTTTCCTTGGAAACCAAGGCCAAGATCAATGTCATGACTGTCATCCTGATCCTTTTGTATGGAGAGTGAAACCTGGACAGTGAAGAAAACTGACAAAAGACAATTAACTTGTTCAAACATGGTGCCAGAGGAGAGTTTTTAGAATACCCTAAATGGATGGAAAGACAAACAAGTGGTTCTTATACCAAATCAAGCCAGATCTTTCCTTGGAAAGCTGTATTTCAAGCATATTTCAGGAGAAGGCAAGACGCAACTCAAGAAGACAATAATGCAAGGACAAGTTGAAGGCAAAAGAGGAAGACCAAAGGTGAGATTCCATAAGGAAGTCACAGCCTTGAGTTTTCAAGAGCAGGGCCGTCAAGGACAGGATATTTTGGAAGCGTTCATTTGCACGATTGGCACAAGTGGGAGATGATTTGAAGGCACGACAAATACTCAAGTCAAATAATTGTGGTGTAGAGGGACACCAAAACTGACAAGAGTGCTTTCTGTAGCTTTATTTACTGAATACAAATAAATAAATGTGCTAAATTAGATCATGCTCCAGAGGATGAGAAAAATTTCCCCTGCAAATCAAAAATTTTACCTATACGAAGTATTAGTGTAGGAAGATTTTCCATACATACATACTCTATCTGAGTAAGCATTGCCTTATGTGGATTTAGTGATGAAAAGTTTCCAAGTTAGAAAGTATATATTTATGTGAGGACTAAACTTGGTATTTTCATCACCAAATATTAAGCACGACTCTTTAGCCACTTATAACTGATCCAGTTTGATGCCATGTGACAGAGCATGTTGAGAAAACTCTTTTCTCCTCCTAACCTACTTTGCCACTACCACTATCAAATATTCATTTCCAGCTCAACTATTATGTCTGTTCCTAGGGAAACGTAAATACAGCATAGAAAATAAAGTATTGGGTCAGACAGACAATTTGTCCATCTAACTTAATATTGCCTACTCTGACTGGCAGATGCTCTTCAAGGTCACAGGCAGAGGCCTTTCTTCATATCATCTGTTTCTTGTTTCCCTTTCGCTAGATAACCCAGAATCAAACTCAGCACTTGTGTAAGCAAAGCATCTGCTCCACTCCTGAACTATGGTTTCCCCTTAAATGTACCTTTCCTCCCTGATCCATCAAAATTAGCCCTTCTGAAAGCCACTGCAGGAAATGCCGGGAGTGCAGGTGTGCAGAGCTGCCCAGTCCCCTCTCTAAATATACCAAAATCTATGCTGTTCATCAGTTGATGATTTTTAACCATGATTGTGGAGGTTATCCATCAATTGTTGCTTGAAAGTCACAACGAAAAAAGCAAAACAACAGATGCAGCATTTCACTGGGTGACAAGTGTACACAGTAGCATTTCTCGTTCTCCTGGGATGCCCCTTTCTGCTTTCCTTAACTTTTTACTAAGCGATATTCTTCCCCACTTGCTTTCTTTCCCACAGCTTCTTCTGCTAGCTTTTATCAAGGCATACACACACGACAAAATCAAAGCAGTTTGAAATTGGTTTATTTGTTAAAGCAGCAAGAGCGTTACAATGCAGTTTTGCATCTTTTGATGCAAAAGAATCCTGTGGATTTTTTCCCTCAGAATCTGGCTCCCACTGCATGGGGGGCATACTCTCTTGCAAATGTATAGGATTCCAGCTACAAAGATTTTAGTCTTCCTCTTCCCAACTATGCCAATGGCTTAACTAAGTAAGTACACATTCACCAGCTCACAAAACAGCAAGCTTGTACCTATCTATACGTGGGATGCCTCAGTTTTGGCAATGACCTGGAAAGTTATGCACCTAAAAAGGAAACATTGCTTGTCCTGAACAGGTTAGAAAAATAATGATTTTCAAGGACAAACTAGATGTCCTCTGGCAATTTAACCATGTATATAGCATTTTGGTAGAAACTTAGTATGTATTTTCCCAACCATGTTGTTGGGACTTTGAAATCAGTTCTGAAACAGACGGGGTATCCAAAGGTTTGCTTATACAGTACTGTAGTTTTTAAAAGTATCCAACTGTATGGTAGCTTCACTATGTTATTCCAGGAATTTAAAATATTGTTGTATTGTCTAGTATGCACCCTTTCCTTTTCCTTTCTCCCCAGGGGCAGTTAGAGAAAGCAAGTGGCACTGAATTTGTGTCAGTTTGAAGGAAAAATGTGAAAGAAAGCCCTAGCAGATTAATGACCGACAGCCATCCGATAAGCGAAGTCTAGAGTTCTAAATATAGATAACTCAAATGCAGGATGAATGGAACAGAAAATAGGAATTTAAAACTATAATCCTATTAAATAGCTATGCTTGAAACGGCGACCTTTCAATCAAAGAATACCAGCCTTTACTCTAATATATTTATGATGTTGCTCACTTTGAGAAAAGTTTCATGCACATAAGCTTCTGCCTTGTTTTGGTTAAAAAATGCTACAAGGCGGTCTGAACTGTCTCAGTGAAACAACCATTATTTTAAAACATGTGTTAATTCAAGCCTTTTTATTCCCACAACGCAGGCTGTTTCTAGTATCAAATGCATCTTTTTTCCTTAGAATATGCTCTTAAAATGTGTACTTATCTGCAACGACATTAATAAGGTAAATATTAATAACTTGCAGTTATTGAAAGTTCCTCACCGAAGAACCCCTGGGCTCCTGAACAGTTATGTTCAGCAACTGTAATAACTCCATTTATTCTTAATTGAATCTTTCCCCGCGTGTTCACACTCGAGGCTCGCAACGTACGGAGACATGATAGCAATAAGCCGGAGGAAACTTTCGGGGGGTCGGGTGGGGACGTTGGAATGCTACCTTGGGACATTCGTGTCTGAACAACTCTGCCGAGAAGAATGGGAGGAAAAGCCCAAGAGGAGAGACGGGGCTGAAAGTCCGGAGGGAATTCAAATTACTCACCTGTCAATGACAATTTTCCTCGCCGATGCATAAAACCCAACATGGACAGCTGCATGTAAATCGCTTTGCAAATGTGTCCCTGATGTCAACACGCTAAGCTGGAGCCTCAATCTTCTGGTGATCGGATTAGGACTCGCTGGCCGGAGTTTTCTAAACGCCCCTCCTTGCAGCCTTTCCTGAACCATCCTGGAAGAGGACCGATCGAGGGCTGGAGCGTCTGTCGCGGCGCGTTTCTTTGCTCGCCCGCTGCCCTGACAAGAGGGCGCAAAGCAGCGCATGACCTTCTAGAAGCGCACGGGCGGCGGCGCGGAAATCTCGACTGCGCGCCTCTGAACGCTGCAATAGCGCCGCGAGCCGCGCTCCTGCTCGGATGCCCTGGCGGGATCTGCCTCCAGCTGCTCGGCGTTTGGCGGGCTGCGGCGCGGAGGACGTCCACACGACCGGGTTGCTCTTTCTGGCGGGAAGAGCACGTGATTCACCCTCCTGCTTGCCAAGTCCCTTTTCGGAAAAGCGAGCGGGGCGGCCGCGCTTCCACGTTTGCGCAAGGGCTGGACCAGAGCTGGAAACCAGATAGCGCGAGACGCTGGTTTTTCCTGGCAAGGCAAAGCCTCTCCCCCCCTCGCCGCCTTCCCCACACACGCAGAAGCAAGAAGTTGCTGCTCCTGTCCCCCGTTTGCCCTGGCTGGCCGCTGTGCAGCAGCGAGTCTGGACTTCTCCCCTCCGCAGAAGCGCGCTAGCAGGCGGTGAAAGATTCACCTCCCGCGGTTCCCCCAAACTCCCCGTTGCTCCTGCCCGCGCGCATCAGATTGCTTTGATGGGAAACTCCAGCACGTTCCCAGGAATCGTGTTTTCCGAACCCTGGGAAGCCCGGGAAGCACCTGTGCCCCTCTTCTTGATCCCATAATTGCGCGAAGAAGATTAATCGAGGTAGGATCACTTCCAGAAGGATGGGCATTGCCGTTGAAACACCACTGGACGGATAAGAGGAGCATCTACGACCTGGAGTAAATATTAGGGTGAACATAGCAATTACGGGGTTATCCCAGCATTACAGGTTATCCTGCTACTGTTGGCCGGAGATGAACTATGGCGTAAACTTCTGCAATACGTTTGGAGCAGAGACGTGCAGAAAATTGCGTGGGGCGCCAGCTCCATGGAGGCCGCCTGTGCTCCCTTTTCCTGGGACGCTTCTTCTGCCTGGGCACGCCGTGACCTTGGGGGGCTTTTTCTCCCCCAGGCCGCTCAACTGGATGTGGGTGTGCTGACCGCACCCTCGGGGGCCTGGGTGAGATCTTAACCAGAGGAGCAGGCTCGGGTCTTGTTGCACGCCGTCGAGGCCCTGGAAGATTTGGGGTTTCCCGCTTTGCCCACAGTGGGAGTTCCCCTCTGCTCTTTCGGAAGAGGGGTGGAAAGGACTTAATCTCTCGTTTTGTTCGTGTGTGCGGGGGGCTTATGTGGCGGCCCCCCTCCTCTTCTGGCCGCGCGTTGCACGCTGCGTTTGCACGCGCGTGTGCTTGTATGCCTCGGCGCGGGAGGCCCGGAGCCTCGGGGGCGCCCTGTCGCTCCCGGGGGTGACAACTCCCAAGCAAGGCCCAAGCTCCTCGCCTCCCGCGGCGAAGGGAGGCGACGATGGTGCTGCTGTCCGGAGACGCGAAGGGCGTCGGGGAATGCCGGGCTCCCGCCGCGGGGAAGCCGCCGGCGCCGCCGCCCGGGCGGTCGGAAGGCGAGCCGGCGGAGCCCGAGTGGAGCCCCGCCGGCGGCCCCGCGGGCGCGGAGCCGGCGCCGGAGAGCGGCGACGAGGACGAGTTCGAGGAGTACGAGGACTTCTCGCAGCTGCCGGACACGCGCAGCATCGCCTCCGACGACTCCTTCTACCCGCCGCGGGCCGACGACGAGGACGACTGGTCGCTGGGCGAGTCCGACCCGTGCGGCAGCCCGGAGCCGCTCTCGCTCTTCCGGGCCTGCTGCACCAACAACGCCCTCGCCGTGCGGGCGCTCATCCGCCAGGGGCCCGAGGAGCGCGAGGTGCAGCAGGCGGACCGCAACAGGCGGGTGAGGCAGCGGCGCGCCGCTCGGGCGGGGGGGGCGGGCGGGGGGGAGGGAGCGCGGGGCCGCCGGCGACCCTTCTCTGCGGGGCCGCCGGCGGGACCACCCTCGCGTGGCGGCTGCGCGCCTGCGGCCAAGGGGCCGTGCGGGGTGGGGTGGCGCGGCGCGGCGGGCAGGAGCGCCTCGGGCCGGGCTCTAGGCCTCGCTCGGCCGTGGGCCTGCTTGGGCCAGGCGCGCCCTCTTAGCCCAGCCTACCTCGCAGGGTTGTTGCCGTGAGATAGGATTGAATGGAGAAGACTTGCGTAAGCAGCCTTGCCTGAGCATTTCTTGGTCGGAAGAAAGGCGGGGGTGTAAATATAAAAAATGAATAAGCCACCTGTTGTTTCTCTAGGGTCGCCTGCAGCCTTTAGTTACCTCTGAAACCACAAGCAACAACATGCAGCTTTCTAGGCCTGCCAGTCCGGGGCTTCCTGGCTCCCCAACCTTTGGGGAGCCCCAGCCTTTTCTGAGCAGCCCATTCCCCCACTGTCAGCAGTACACAGCCCCCCATTTTGCTTCTCCTGGGTGCCTATTCTTGCAGACCTCTCCGCGCCTTCGGTGCATGTATGAAGGGAAAAGGGGCATGGCCAGTCCCAACTCCTGACCTGGCCTCTGCACCTTGGAGAGGAGAAAGGTGATGTACGTGTGTGCAGCCTTCTTGATGTTCTGCACACCTGCAGAGGTCAAGCAGCAGAAGCAAACCATCAAATCATCCATGGAGGGGAGTTGAGAAGGACCTGATGCTGCTGCATTGAGTCACCCTTTCTCTTCTCTCCTCTCCCTCCCTTCAGCATCTTGGCTGTAAGTGCTTTAAATATCTTCCCAGTCAAAATGACGGCTCTTGCTTGCCTGCAAAGCTGGAGTGTAAACTATTTCATTGCATGAGCAAATGAACATGTGCCATCCGACCATCCAGTTAAAGTTTACCAACTCAATTGAAATACAATATAAATTCAGTAGAAATCTCCATAAGGGGACAGTTTATTCTTATCAATTTTGCATATGCATTATAAATCGAAGGTGAAAACACATGTTCCAGTAATCATGCAGAGATTTCTAGAAACATCTGCTACTGTAGCTGTAGTGCCAAAACCTGCTCTCCAGTTTATATGTCTTCATCATAGGGATCATCAACAAAATATGCCCCCTCTTGTGGGTGTCTTTAGCCCTCTGCTAAATTTTGATTAACACCCTGTTCCCATTTATCCTCAACTTTGCCATCCCTTTTCCTTGCTTTGATGTATTATAATTAGCTGCTTTACCAACAGGTTGACATAGAGACAGGTTGAAACAGTCAGCTCAGCCATGCTACTTTATTTATTTAATTTGAATTACATTTATGCAGCTTCTGTAACCTTCAGCCATTCTGTGTTTCAGGGATTTTCCCTAGCCATCCAACCTCCTTTTTTCTCCCCTGGGCTTTTCTTGATTCTTGCTGTTATAGTGATGCTGGTTTGATGAAGTAGCAAGTGTTGCACCCGGTCATTTTCAGTTGTTTCCAGATGATAAGCACAATTATCTCTATCACTGATGTATACATCTCATATATGGTAAAGACGTCTATTATTGTTATTTAAGCTTATGACCACTCCCTGCATAGCTTGCAGAGTAAACATTTTTAAAAGTACAATATTACAAATACAAAAAAACAGTAATGCAAAGCAACAAAACTCATACTAATACAGCATAAAATGTTCCTTCTCACTGAGATGGAGTAAAACAATTGACAGCTCAAAATTAAAAACCACAACATAATGTGTGAAGAGAGCCTTAATTCTGAAACCAATGTTATGATTATATTTCCTGCCACTGGAAGAGTACATTCATAAATATGTTTCTAGCAAAATCAGCTTCTAATAATTGTGTTACATTAGATTTCATACCAAAGTAAATTTCAGTATCTACCTTTGTGCATAGGGGTTTGCTCCTTCTAAAATAGTCTTCAGACTTTGCTGCCGCTGATTCTGAGTACAGAGGAATTAATGTATTAAGAGGTACATAATACATGTTATGGTATCCCTGCCTATTTTTCTATACTTTCAGCAAGGATTATGTTGATGGAAGAAAGGAAGGAAAGTATAAAAGCCTTTCACACATTCTCATACTATTAAAACACTATCCACATGATCATCACTGCAAAGAAAATTCCGTCCTGCCTAAAACTCAGTTCACTATTTATACTTCTTTCCTTACAACTCTGGTTCCATAGACAACTGGAAACATCAACAGATATCCACTCAGTTTACAATTTGTACAACTTTGTATGTATCGCATAACTGTTAACATGGGAATTCGGGCACATGTTTCTGACAGTGGTGTATGTATAGTCTAAGTATATTTGCAAGAACATACATTCCCACGTTCTCAAATTAAGAAAAGAATCTGATTTTTTAAAAATCTGTTTCTTCTTAGCTTTCACTGCATGTTTCAAACAGATTTTCAAACAGATTACCCTTTCTTTCATAATCCAGTGGATATGGATTATCAGTTGCTTACATGGGATTCTAAAAAAATCTCCCATCCAAGTACTGAGAAAGGTTGCATGATCATGTGCCCTGGACTCTGCCTAGACACCTGGAATATCACATTTTCCTGCTTGTCTCCAATATTGGGCCTGCTCAGTTTTATGTTGTGGTAATCAATGTACAAATTCACAATACAAAGGAATATTATTTTTTTCAATATATTGTTTTCTGCAGTTCTGTAGATAGGGAGTTGGCCCCTAAACAATAATGTTCCCAACCAACTTTTCCAAGTATTACATTTAATGTAGCCCTATGCTATGCAAGATTACTCAGAGCTACATCTTACTGTATCCTGTGAGCTTCCTCCCAGGTAAGCATGCATTGGATTACAGCCTTAATTACAGATACAGATGCATCTGTTAACATATGGACAATTACATACATGTGTTAAAAACTGACTGTTTACAGCAATGGTTTTTAATTGTGCTAAACCAATTTAGTTTGTAAAGTCCATATAAAAATCTTGAAAGTATATCAGATTCAAAGATATTATGGGCCTAATTCCACACAAAGTTAGGGGTGTTTCCCATGCAATTTGTTTCAGTGGGAGAAACAAACGTGCTTAACTCTGTCTCCCATTGAAATGAATTGCATTTAAAAGTGCTTACATTTGGCTTTATTATAGATGTATGTATTCTGTATGTGCGGGTGGACTGGGTCTAAGGATGCGTGCTTATGCTTATGTACACACAGCCTAAAAGTGTTTGCTAATCTAGAATTACATTTTCAAAAGACTACTAAGGTTGACTGTATAAATGGTTTAAAAAAGAAAGATGTAAAAATACATGGGTTTTAGAGCAGACCCTTTGAAATAAATGGGCCTTGCCGTTGATTTCAATAGTTCTCTTTAAATGTGGCGACATCAGGGTCCTTTGGGTTGTATCTGTGGATAAAATCTGACGTAAGGCTTGTTTAGTCTAGATCCAATGAAATAAATGGGATGTAAATTAATCATGACTAACTTAAGACTTAGTAATTTCAATGGGTCTACTGTAAGTAGGACCAACATTGGATACTAACCTTTGAATTCAAAGGCTTTAAAATGGTTTAAACATATTTATCACAAGAGAAAAATAGTGTAGAGATACAATGTTGTCTTTTATTCAAACCTTGTTTATAATTTTCTTGTATGCTGTTGCCAACAAGTGAGGTCAGATACTTCTTTGATCGCAACCATTGGGAATGATTTGCTTTTAGGGGTTGTTCTTAGCTATTCCGTTTTTTAAAAATACAGTGTTGGAACTGCTACCCTTTCTTGAAGTATAAAAGGAGAATTGTGAAGCTGCTGTTCCATATGATAATTTCTCTTTACTTTAAGACACTTCAGCCCACTGTTAAACATAAGCATATAAACAATACACTGGAGAAGGGCACAGACATATCAAACTCTCCTAGGTATACATTATTTTTGACTCTAACTAGCAAACAAGAAAATATTGTAATCGCAGATTGTATCTTTAATGAATGGTGGAAAGCTTGTTGTACAAATGGGAATTGGTTCCAGCCACTGAATGAAAACCTTGAGAAATAGATTAAAATGTAAAAACTAGAGATAAATACTCCAGAACAAGTACGGAGAAGCTTTGTTCGTTCGTTGCAGCCCTGCCCTACTTGGCTGGGTTTGTATGACACGCTAACACGGTGGCTTAAAAGCCATGGTAGGTTAGCATGTTCTTCACATCTGCTATAGGTTTGCCATGGTGGTTGCACACAAGCGGCAATAAACATTTTTTGAAAAAAATTGCAAATATTTGAGGAAACTAATTATCAGGTGCACCACAGGTACACCTTGGAGAGATTGTTCGTAGATGATTAAATTGGGATTGTGAAAGCTACCTTGACTAGTAACCTTTGCTGTCCCTCTGAGTGGAGGGGAGCACAGCACAGGCAACAATGCGCTGTGAATTTGGTGGGGAAGGAAGGAACCTCCTGGGATTCTTGTGGGGAAAACCCTTTGAATTCTTTTCGGTATTGTTCCAAGGTGCTCCACTGCAAATTCTTTAATCAAGTTTATCTATAATTTTGTACCGAACGGCTAAAAAGACTGGGAGAGAAGATCGCTGGGGTGGCTCGGGATAAATCATATGGCGGCTCCTCCCTGTCTTCTCCTTCCTGGTCCACTGTGGTGTCCCCTTCAGAGAGGTGAGAGCTCTCTTTGCTCCTGCTACAAGGGGGTAAGGTTTTATCTCTGAGATTGGAGAGCTGCCTCTGTCCTCAGTAGGGCCTTTTGAGCCATCCTGTGGTCTCTGAGATGCTTGCCCAGGGACCATATGACTGCTTGGTGAGCTATGTTGCATGAGGTCGTATGGCATGTTCAAGTATATAACAAGGCAGAAGCTCAGCCCACGAAGCCCCATCTTTCCCTCCCTCTGCAGAAGCAGAGCTGCTGTGGAACGAACCTCAGGTTTAAAAAATCAGGATTCCCCTTCATGTTTCTCAAGC